AGCGCCGCCGCGCTCCCAAGCGGCGCACTGTAGCAGTGCGCCACCGGGCCGGCCCCGATCAGTATTACTTTTTATTGTTGTATTATTACTTTAATTATTATTTTTTTTTTAGTATTTTCAATCTGCGATTAGTTGAATGAACAGATGCAGAACTCACGGATACAGAGGGATACAGAGGGCCAACTATACTAAGTATTTTACTTCTGTGATCTCATTTAACCAACACAACAAACCTAGGTTGCGGGGGTGCTTCTCCATTTTACAGATGAGGAAAACAGAAGTCTTAGTAAGATTAGGTATCTTCCCCAAGGTCACATAATTTGGAGGAGGTGAGATTGGAATCCGGGTGTCTCTGACTCCAAAACTCCACTGTACCACACTGCCTTCCTGTGAGTGCAGTCCCAGAACTGGTTACACCTGTAGGAGAGACAAATCAGAATTCCCTTGAGAATCTTACAATCAATAGTAGGCGAGGGATCAAATTCACAATCATGAAATAGAAAGTGAACAACTTCAAATTATTAGGTTCAATTAGGATTCTAATTCTAAAAGAATTGAGAGCTCAGAAAAGAAAGAGATCATTGACAGAAGGCTTACAGAGGAGCACTTCCTGTAGGGAAGGTAGGGGCAAAGTTAAGCCCTGAGGAAAGAATAATAGGCCAAGTGAAGAAAGAGATAGAGTAGGTAGAACTGCATAAGCAACTCAGGAACACAAGAATGAGTGTTGTGAACACAGAGGAGAGTGAGGAGCTAATCCTGAAAGGTGTGAGGAGTTACATTAGAATGGTAGGGTGAGACCAGACTGAAAAATAATAATAGCAGCCTAGCTTTTATTAAGCATTTACTCCGTGCCAAGTCCTTTACATGCATTGTCTCATTGAATCTTGATTATGACCCAGTGCAGTGGGTGCTGCAATTACCTCCATTCTAATAGATAAAGTGAAGCTCAATAAAGTCAAGTCACCTAAGATCCCACAGCTAGGAAGTGGCAGAGCTAGAAGTCAAACCCAGTTCTTGTGACTCCAGAACTCACACTCTCATCCAAAAGGCCTCACAAACTAAGCTGAGGGTGCAAGGACCTACTACAGTGCCATGAAACATAAGAGATACTTAAATGGATTGAAGGAGAATGAATGAAGTGATAGGCAAATATTTGATGACAAGTGCTTTTCCAGCCTAGGCTCTCATAAGCATTCCAGTTCCTATTTATTAAATAGTCTCAACAAGTATTTATTAATTTGCACTTGGCAAATGAGGCCTAGTTCTTGGGTACCACTTATCAAATGCCAAGAAGTTTGATGGCGACTGAGCCACCAAAAGGAAGAGAAGGTGCCTGCCCAGAAAACTGGAATTGCTCACGACTTGCCCAGATTTTCTTTGTTTCCAGTGACTAAGGTAGAATCTACCATCTGATACTTGGATTCCAAAACAGAGGTTACAGGCATATATATCAGTTTCTGTTGGTCTCATTCTCATCCTTTGTCTTCTCCTGTTTAACTCTCTTAGATACAGCTTATTGAGAGCATTGGCAGAAAACTTTCTGTCCTGCGGGAAGCCCAACGAGGGCTGCTGGAGGACATCAATGCCAATTCTGCCCTTGGGGAGGAAGTGGAGGCCAATTTAAAATCTGTCTGCAAATCCAATGAGTTTGAAAAATATCGCTTGTTTATTGGGGACCTGGACAAAGTGGTCAACCTGTTGCTGTCACTCTCTGGACGACTGGCCCGGGTGGAGAATGCTCTCAACAGCGTCGACTCAGAGGCCAACCAGGAGAAGGTAGAGTTGGGGTCTTTGGGGTATAGATGGAGGAAAATACCCTCTATTTCTTCTCAGGTCTCCCTCTTTCAAGTTTGACTATTATGGGAAGCAGGAGAACTTAGTGTTAAGAGTGTGAGCACTGGCTTTTAAGTGCCCTGAAATTCTGGCTTTACTACTTATTAGCTGTGTGACTGTGGGCAGCTTATTTAACCTCACTCTCAATCTCCTCATCTATAAAATGGAGTGAACATACAAGGGTGCTTCAAAAAATTCATGGAGAGATTCGTATTTTAACTCTATTTTTCAACAAACATTTTGAAATATACTCATACGACCTGCCTCATGGGGTTCTTATGATAATTAAATTAGATAATTCATGTTAATTACTTAAAACAGGGCCTGGAACAGGGTAAACACTAGATCAGTGCTGGTTGCCAGTAGTAGTAGTGGTAGTAGCAGCAGCAGCAGTGGCAGCAGCAATTTTGTCTCACTCTCACTGGAGTTGGAGTGGGTGGTTTCATCAGGTAGTTGAGATTGGGAGGCTCTCGGTCTCACAGGTTGGGTCACTTTGTGTACATTCCTGAACCAAAACTGCATTACCTTTCCCTATACAAGTGGCTTTAGATACAACTTTGAATCCACAATAAGAGGTGCATATGCATGTGTATATACACACAGATACATCCACTCAAACAGAGACACACACCATGTAGAAAGCATTGCTACAGTGACGGTTATTCACCAGATGGAAGGGACACAGGCTGGTTTTGTCAGAGCCTTCTGCCACCCAAAACTCAGTGGTGGCCCACGGATTAAAGACAGCTTTAGAAATGGAAAAAGGTGATTGTACATCCTCCTGTCCAGAATTCCTAAAGTGTTTATTCTCCTCCTGCTACAGGAAAGAAAGGCTTTTACAAGGAGGTGGACTTCTGGGCAGGAAATCTAGGACTGATCAACTAGCAGGATGGATAGCTGCTTTGTGGCAGCATCCCTGGTGGAGCACTGATAGGCAGATGTCTGGTAATTTTAATAGCCCTTAATTGGTCCTCTGCTTCCCAGCTGGTGCTGATAGAGAAGAAGCAGCAGCTCACGGGGCAGTTGGCAGATGCCAAGGAGCTGAAGGAGCATGTGGACGGCCGGGAGAAGTTGGTGTTTGGCATGGTCTCCCGCTACCTGCCTCAGGACCAGCTCCAAGATTACCAGCACTTTGTCAAGATGAAGTCTGCTCTCATCATTGAACAGCGAGAGTTGGAGGAGAAGATCAAGCTCGGGGAAGAGCAGCTTAAATGTCTCAGGGAGAGCCTACTCCTGGGGCCCAGCAATTTCTAATTCTACTGGCAGTCTGCCATAGCATCTCTGCCCAGCCAGTGGGAAGTGCTTTCAGTCTTCTGCTAATCTTCGTTAGCAGTTTGTTAGCAAGTAGATAGCAAATCATTAGCAGTTTATTCCAGCCCTCTACCATGGATGTCTCTCATTATTCCCTAGCAGTGGTCCCAACCAGTCAGGAGACCCGGGAGAGGCTCCAAGGTTCTACCCTAAGGAGCTGCAGCAAGGTGTGATCATACAGTCACACTCTCCTTCTCACAGTTTGCATGGACAAGCACTCGCAGCATACAGAGACAACAAAGTGCCTTCAATCTTCTTTGTACTAGGACACCAAAGACACCACATGCTCACCACCCACCCACACCATAATCAGCCTCTTAAGGCTCAGAGAGAAGCTGCCTGTGCAGCTCCACTCTATGCAGGGCTTGTGGCTCAGCCTTTTCCCACACATCTGGCTGCCTTGTGGGGATTCACTCAGCACCAGTTTCAGGGTCTCACCCAAGCTTTGCAGTGGGAAGCACAGAAGGAAGAATTACACTTAACAGAATGCCAGCAAAGGTTGGGTATCCCCAGGTGCCCCTCAGGAAGGAGCCAGGCTTAAACAAATTGGCTCCACCCCCACATTCTCTCTCCAGCAGCTATTTAAGGGGGAAGAGGCCTACTTCAGTGTGGCTCTCCTCATGTCAGAAGACATTGGGCCTACCACCTCCTGTTTCATCTTTCCCTTTCATTGCTGGTGGTTACAGGTGCCTACCCCAGGGCTTCACACTGTGGGCCATTAATAGCTCTACTAAAGCCGACTTCTGGATATAGCTTTCATTATTGCAGGGAGGGGTTCTTGTTATATTTTAAATGGCCTTTTGACTTTATTTATTTTTATGTTTTGATTGTTTTTTTCTTTTTTAACTAATAAGGAGAGAAGAGGGAAGTTGGAGAGGGAAAAGTTAGCCCAGAAGGAAAGCATTTTCTGCAGATCAGCCTTAATCCAACATGGCTAGGTAAGCAAGTGCCAAGGCATTGAATTCTTGCCACCATGACTACAATTGTCTAAGAAAGGAGTTCTCCCCTTCAACTCAGAGCCTCCCTACTGTGATCTGGCCATGTGCTTTCCTTGAAGTATGGGGGGCCATGAGCTTAGCAGGGTGCAATTTTTTTTAACTTATTGTTTTTTTGAAACCAAAGAAATCTCCTGAAACTGACAAAGGCTCACCTATTTCTCTACCATCTCCAAGCTAAGGGAGGAGTAGAGGTGAGCTCAGGAGGAGCTCGTCTAACAATTGCTTTATCAGCTTATGTCCTGGCTCAGGAACCAAAATTCATGATAGCTGGGAACTGCACCCAGGGCCAGCCCCCCAGAGCAAATTATGATCCAGCCAGGATCTTAGGCATACAAACAACTACAGCTGCTTCTGTTGCCAAGGTCCTGACACTGTAGCCAGCTTCTATCCTGGAAAAGCCTTCAGGTGGGTGATGGCAGGAAGGGAGTTATGACCAAATTGCTCTGTTATCCAGCTCAATTTCCCATTCCTTGCTAACTGGGGCCAATCCTTGGTATTACACAGCCAAGCCCAGGCCAGCCAAGCTCAGCCAAGCCCTGGCGTCTCTTCTAGTTACTGCTGAGTTCCTCAGGGTCCATGGAGGTTAACTAGCAGCAGGGGTGCCTCATTCAACCAAAGAACTTGCCAAGGAACTTTGCTGCTGCTGCAAATACTGGTCACTAGCTTCCGTTTCCTCTTCATTGTATTTGAAAACAATGGGAGAGTCTTGGCCAGTAGGGTGTCCTGGGGGAGGGGGGGGTGACCCTTTCTATGTGGCCCCGGCTATGCTCTTAGTACTGCTGCTGCCGGAACCACTGTTAGAATGTCAACCCAGCAGTTCGTTGTGCCCTCCAGTGGAAGATTCTACTTTATTCAGGAAGGCTGATGGTTTAAGGACTAGGCTTACCCAAGCCGAGGCTGAGAAAGGTGAGGGAGTGCTTTTTTTAACAGGCTGTAGAACAAACAATAAACAAATTGAGATGTCCTGTTTTGAGGGGATGAGACCAATCTGTTCGATCATTCTAAGAATTTTTTTTTTTTTTTTTTTGCTAGAATAGCTTACAGCTTTTTGGCAATATGGGCCCAGGGAAAAGGGTGGTCACTTACCTGGACACCATGGCCATAATCTGGGTTTTTCTAGTCAGCATTAGGTTGGTTGCACCTTAAGTTTATGATGCCAAAAATACTATGAACTCTGTTGTTTTCGTCCCTCATTTCACCTCAAATTAGTTTCCAGAGTTGGAATCAGAATGCAAGGATGCTCATTTAACATGGTGGGACAGTTTCCAAAGCATTTAAAAAATAACCCTAAAACTGTACTGAGCAGTGAAGGTCAGTAGACAAAGGGGAACTACTAAACAGACACTGGCATGCCTCACTCCTGCTGTGGCAGTCCCATTGTGAGTGACAGTGCTGCAGAGCTGCCGGTATTACTTGAGATGCGGTGTCTCTCCCTCATTCTCAGTTTCTGGGCTCATCCCTCCTCCAGTGCCTGCCAGTAGGTAGCAGCTTAGAAGGTGGCCCAAGGGATTTCCCCAAAGACAGTTATTGGTCTTGACTTCTGCTCTCTCCCTTCAAATACATACACAGGCCCCAGTGGGTAGTAGGTAATCATGGTGGTAGATAGAGAGGAGTCAGTGCTGGAGTGACTCTCACATGTCCCCCCTTACTTCCCCTCCCAGGGCTCTGTATAATTGAGTCTCCTTGAGTCCCTGGAGACTCAGCCAGGACATACCAGGAAATGCCCAAGTGGAATCCAAGGTAATGAGACAGAGAAAATGCAAATAAAGCCCTAAAAAGGGAGAGATTAGAAGCAGAGGATAGGAGAAAGTTTGAAAAGATGAAAAGCTTCTTTCAAGGCCAGGTTCACGTTCTGTTTTCTGTTTAACATCATGTGCCAAAAAGCTGCCCAAGAGCACCAGAGCCACACCCTGAACCCCAGCCTCCCTGAAGGTGCTGCTTTGCCAGTAGCAGGCCCCGGATGGAGGAAGCTGGGCACATTTCTGGCCAGTTCTACCCATCTAGAGCTTGGCGACAGGAGTTGTCTGTGCCAATAATATTTCTGTAACAGTGTATTGTATTATTTGAAGATTAGTAGATCTTGGGGGGGGGGGGGGGTTCCTATAGATAAAGAAC